TGATTGTTCCTTATGTTCCTAACAGAGCACTTCGCTCTCAATCTGCAGGTTTACTAGTGGTTCCTAGAATTTCTAAAAGTAGAATGGGAGGCATTTCTTTCAGTTATCAGGCTCCTCTCCTGTGGAACCAACTACCAGTTTTAGTCCGTGAGGCAGACACCCTGTCTGCTTTTAAGGCTAGGCTTAAAACTGGAGACAGCTGATCAGCTGGCTTTTAGGAATCATACTTGGATTTCCTCTGTTTGGATTTGAAGGATACCTGATATATCTACAATTACAGAGGATGATGGGGACAATTTGGACTAGGATTAGGCTGCAGGCCACAGTTGATGCACTCACAAAGGCTTTAAACGAGCAGGACCATTAAGTGAGCCGTAAGCTGGTGTGATGGAACGCAAGCTGGTTGCAGTGGTTGAACTCAAAGGTGAGATGGGATTAAAAACACGGATGTACACTCTCGCTTCAAGGCGGAATACCTTGTGAGATACACCCTAGACTCCTGAAAGGGTTGGGGAATGGTGTGTTTTACGACTGAGTCCCCTTTATCCTGTCTTGCAGTTGAGAAAATTTGATCAATTGCATTAAGAGACCAGCTGATCAGATCCATTGTTTGATTCAGGTGATATGAAGAGAGGACAAAGAGAGAAAAGACACAACAAAAAGCAAGGAGAGATCAGGGAGGTGGAGGAGCAGAAGCAGCAGGAAAATACGACCACCTCCAACAAAGAGCAGAATACAGAAATGCTGTAGTTTGTCTGTGTATAATTGTTGTAGTCAAACAATTTCTGTATTTTCTTTCTCTCTTGAAACTTCACAACATAACATTTTGAACCTGATTATTTTTTAAAGAAAGCAATCCACCCCCTAGATATTTTCATTTATTAAACTAGAAGACATTTTTAATGCAGGACTCAGAAGTCATGGGATAATGGAATTTTTTATTGCATATGAGTAGAAGTATATGGAAAAAAGGCACAATGAAAACTACCCTTGTACAAATGCTGCTTTCTGATTGGCCACTACACCTAATTAGGTATAAATATCTATCATCACATGATTAACATGAGGTTTTATGTACTGTGCTTTAATTATCAGGTTGTATTACAGCACTACAGTCCACATGCACACACATCCTCAAACATAAACTTCAGCAGATGTTTTCATAAAATTAAGTGCATAAATGAAATTACTTTCAATTTGATCCCTAAAAAAGAAATAATCCAAACATTATATATGTCTTAATATTGGTTCTACCAATATCTCAGCCTCTTCTTCAGAACATCAGTTCACTGATTTGGAGGTTCATGACCTGCATGACCCAAAGTGAAAGCTGCTGGAAAAATAACTCTGTCCAGACTCAGGTTCTTTTATCTGCTTTCATCTGGATTAACCAACACTTCTGCTGACCTTTCATGCTAAAAGCATTCATGGAAAGCTTTTAATATGATAGATCTGATTAAGAAAAGCTGATCAAGTTTTTGAACTGATGTGCTGAGTTAATCAGGGAAATCTTAGAGGTCATATGAACTTCAGAGTGACGACTTGCAGCCTGTAAATGTTCAGACACCAGACCATCCAGATAAACATCCAAACACCTTCAGACTGAGTTTCTAAATGATAAACCTTTGAAACATTCCTTCAGTTTTCCCTAAAGAGTTCAACATTTCAGTTTCTGGGCTGCTCATAGAGCCTGAATCAGGGAAAACTTAAAAAAGGCTGAACAGAAATTAATTTAAACAGTGAAACGTCAGCAGAATAATACCCTTCTTCAGGGCTACCGTCAAAAACAAAACACCCAGATTTGTGGTTTATAAGGGCATAATTATTTTTGAAATTGTCAAGATTGACCACCAGGTGAAACTTTGCTCCGATTGAGTTAAACTTTATACAGTAGCAGGAACTTAGGTGTAGCTGACCAGATTGAAGAGAACTGGGAAATTCCAGACCTTTATTTTTACCAGCATTTCAGAGATCTCCAAGAAACTGCAGTCAAATCTCTAAACTGCAGCAACATGCTGGAAAAAGTACTAAAACATTTATGAAAGCAGATTCCAGCAAAAATATTTAATTCATCTTTAGTGATCTCCAGCCTTTTATTCAACTCATTGGAGAGAAAAAAAAACAACTCAGATTTGCTGCAGTTTGATACATTTTTCTTGTAACTTGGGCAGATTGCCTTTTGTCAGGTTCGGGGATAATCTGACTGCTGAGAATGAAACTGCAAAACAGAATCTGAGAAACTACTAGATGTTCCAACCCATTTCAATATTTGTTTAGTCCTAAAGGTTCATCAGACTCCCAGCTGACACTCTGATCACCTGATCATTTAAGACGGTTCATAAGATGCTGAGATTACCCGTACAGGTGGGCAGCGTACAGAGAAAACATTCATGAAGCTCCACATTCATTTTAGTCCAACAATCTTCACCTTCGGCTCAAATACATTCTCACATATCATGAAAATCATCAAATTATGAAAAAATAAGTTTTCTACAGCAGTTGGATCTTAAATGTGAAAATATCAACCTATCCTTTAGTTTAAAAGTTAATTCATACAATCTTAAAACATCATCATAAAGCAAACATTGTGGCCTTAAATGCATCAGTCTACGACATATTTACTCATCTGTTGAAACATGGGAACCAACAGCTTCTTTTGGGCCTCTCGCGATTTTTATTCCATTCAGAGACTGAAAAGTCTGAATTTGCTGAAAAATGCAGGAAAAACTACCATAGGTTTTCTCCATGGATACAGATTGATTCCAAATTTGAAATATGAAAAAAAATATATCCTGAGAAATGAATCAAGGTTGGCATTAATGCAGCAAAAAATTATATTGACAGAGCGTTTGAACAGGGACACAAATGAATCTGTAGATTTATTCATTAGATTGACAAACAAATCCAAAAGCTATACAAAAATATCTAAATATTTGAAATGATATCACTTTAAAGGGGACTTAAACAGGTTATGTGCAACTCCGACTTACTGGAAGCAGAAAGCAGGCTCAAATTTTTACTATTAGTTTAGAAAGTGTTAATAAACCTGAGAGGCACAAAGAGCAGCTGCTGACATTCAGATGATCCAACATTAATACTGTGAGGCTTTGCTTTAGAAAGATTTAGCTACCAAGCAGGAAAAAATATCCCAAAAAAACGTTCCTGTGAAGTTCAGGCAAACATGGCAGAAGGTTCTGTAGATTCTTTAACAGCTTGGATATCCAGAGGTCAGTTCGTTTCTATGGAGATGAGCTAAGGAGTTCCTGTCTGCGACGCATGATCTCCACGAACTCTGCACGATCTGCGGCCGCCTGCGGATGAATAGTGGAAGTGAAAGTCGGCTGCATTGGGAGGGTTAAGGAACACTGAGGCAAGGGAGGGAATGCTCAGTGGGTGCTGCCTTCGTCGAAAGACTCCACCCCGGAATCAGCGGTGCTGGCTGCCAGCTTCTCCTGTCGCCTCCTCATAATCTCCTCCAGCTCAGAGCCTGAACTCTTCTGGATACATGAAGGAAAACAAGGACACAGAGAGAGTAGAAATGGTTAGAAAAAAGGAACGCTGTGAGAATGTTAAGATCTGACTTTAGGAGACTCTCACAGGGACACTTCAGTTATCTCTGCTGGTGTTCAGGAATCTTTGGCCAGATAATTGCAGAAGTATCTGTAAGCTTGCATGGCTTCAACTGGCAACAAAACCTCTGAGGTTTAAGACTTTAATGAGCAGAGCATTAGCAGTCTGTCACCACCTTCCTAATTACATCAAGTTAACTCACATTAAGGCGCAGTCCTGCCTCTTGATGGTAAACAGTCAATACCCCCATTTACACTATCCTTTTGAAACCATGCAGAGATCAGTTTCAGCACGGTAACTGATATAACTGTTAAGTGTAAACGGCACGCAAAACTCAACCGGACTGCGCCAGACTCAGCCCCGTTCTGGCTCAGTTATCAGATAACAAAAAGAGCATGAGCAGACCGCGTCATCCTTAAGGAGTGGCGGTCTAGTGATTAGGGCATTTCGCTTGGAACCCAGAGGTCCCGAGTTCAAGCTCCACTACCACAGACTGCGACTCTGGGTCCCTGAGCAAAGACCCCTAACCCCACACTGCTCATCAGGCGTTGCACAATGGCAGCACTCAGCTCCCCAAGGGGATGGGTTAAATGCAGAGTTCATTTCGTTGCTCTGTAACGACGATACACTGTCAGTGTAATGACGATACGCTTTTTCTTTTTCTCCTTACAGGGGATCTCCTTACAGTCAACCTCCATAGTCATGATATTTCAGACATTCATAAAAATACTAGCTTCCCTGCCATGCCACACAATGCATCTAGTGATGCATCTCCTTAGCAGGTGATGAACCTCAACGTCTAACGTCGTTTTCCTGCATATGTAAACGAGGAACCATTCTAGTATGATGTGTAAATGGTAAATGGCATGTACTTATATAGCGTCTTTATACAAGTTAGGAGACTTGACTTGCACTTTACACTACATTCATTCACCCATTCACACACACTCACACACTGATGGTGGCAAGCTACATTGTAGCCACAGCTGCCCTGGGGCTCACTGACAGAAGCGGGGCTGCCGTACACTGGCGCCACCGGGCCCTCTGACCACCATCAGTAGACAATGCAAACGAAGAGCCTTGCCCAAGGACACAACGACAATGAAAGTCGGAGTCGGGGCCTGAACCATAAACCCTTCGATTTCAGGGCAAACTCCTACATCCAACGCCACAGCTTGTAAGTTACCAAGCTCGTTATGGTTAACTGATCCAAGCTAAGTCTGAACTTGGCACAGATCGGTTTTCAGAGGGTAGTGTAAATGGGGCTAATGAATCTTTTACAACTCAATGCCCTGTGATTCAGAAACGGGAAGGGCGTCACCTGAAATATTCCATTAGAAATTTTTAAAAAAAAAACTAAAAGCAACCTTCATAAGACAAGAAAACATCAAAAGACTGATTCCAACAAAACCAACTTTAGTTTTGGGGAATCTACTTTGAGGATGTTAATCTGTTTTCCTTTTATTGGCAGAAAAATTTGAGATCCTTGACAAGCCCCCAACTGTATCAAACACAAACAGCCTGTTTGTCAGTGAAGCAATATATAAAAGAATTGGTGAAAACAACTGTAGCAGTCAGGTGAAGCACATGACTGCAATTAATGTATTCATTATTTATGTCCATGGGGGATTTAACAAAACAACTGCTTTTCTGCCTAGGCCAGAACAGCTGCTATAAAGTATATCTGATAACTGGCAATGTACATTTAGCATCACTATGAAAGAATTCGGAGCTCTTTTCAAGTATAAACAAACTGTTAAAGGTCAGGTAATAACGTCTAGCTCATGCTAGATCTTTATTTGCTGATTTTTCAGCCGTGTTTAATACAAAGTAACCACATTTTATTATTCAGAGGCTTTTAAATGAATTGAATCTGCCTCACCGACTTAATAAAGTGGTCTTAATCTAAAGAAGTCATGGTTTAACCTATAACAGAGAGTAAATTCCTCTCCATGGAAGGTTCTCCACAGTTCTTCGTTTTCTTAATGTTTCTTAATAATGGTCCATAGCCTGCTTTGCCGGAACCCAGATTTCTTAGAAATGGCGCTGTAACTCTTTCCAGACTAAGATATCAGTTACTTTGTTCTTATCTGTTCTTGAATTTCTGTGTGCATGATGTATATTTTAAAAAAATCTCTGGGCTTCAAGTAAGCAAACAGACTCTTTTTAAGCGATCTTTGATTTTTCGGGTGGGTCTGGCAGCAATTAAGTACAGATTTGGCTTGGAAAACTGAATCAAGGTCTTAGTGTGACACGGGTATACTGGCAAGTTCCTTATATAAGTTATTCCTGGTTGGTTTCAGGGTTTTTATTGGCTATTAAGTGATATTTTCTCCCGTTAGTCAGACATCTAAAAATTAAATAGCAAGCCAGGCCTCCTGGATGGTTCTAATCAGTCCCGGTCCCCCTTGAGAGTCTCCCCCAGACCCCTTTGAAATAACTGCCTTAAAGCAACTGAGCAGTTCTTAGCCAAAAATCCTACTGAGCATCTGCATCCTCTGGCAGCCAGAAGTTTTCCGAGGAACATCTTCTGTCAGCACTTGGCTGCGGTTATATGGTGTTCTACTGAAGACTAACTCCATGTAAACTGAGCCAGAACCATCAACCGACCTCAGGAAACCTGCAGATGCTGCCGCAAGCTGCAAAAAGCATGTTGGTGAGAATATCTAAAGGGTGGGTAAGCTGCAGGAGATAGGAAACACACTGGGGAGCATCTGAGTGCACAGACATCTTCTGCATCTGCTTCTCCAGGGTAGATATTTTGATCCAAACAAGGGGATCATGGAGAAAGAACCAGCTTTTCACTATTACGCTCTACTTTCTATTGGTTTCTCAATTAAAACCCCAATAAATGCGCAAAATTTCAAGTATTAAACGGTCTGCCTTCAAAACATTTTTACAAGCCACTAGATTGAGAATATGTTTTTTTTTTTTTTTTTCTAGAGTAATTTATCCTCAGACCATCTAAAAACCAACTCAGGAGACCAGGTCATCAAAGGCAGATCTGATCTTTGTGCAGTCAGCTGCAGGTGAAACGGTAATCAACATTCTCCAGGTGATCCAGAACAGATCCTTAAGCCAGTAATTCATACTTACCGTAAATCAGGGTCAGAATACCAACAGACAATCTGCTGAAAAACTCAACAGACACAAACTGAGGTTACAAAACAAATCTACATGCTGCTCTACACAGGTAGGAGGAGGTGCAGGAATGGAGGTGGAGATAACCATTAGGAGCAGCGCAGGTTCAGAGTCTAAGGAGAACATTATCTGCAGCCACAGCAGGAAGACAAACTGCCGCTACCTGTAGATGCTGCTACACATGAAAATCTTCAAGACTTGTTCTGATGGCCAGATCCATTTAAATAAGAATAAATAAAAGTAGAGTAATAGAGTAGAGTAAGTCCACAACTGGATGATTATAAAGTCTGCACGGACCAACCTGAGGACATGGGACTTGGTCGGGTTTTGGGTCAACAATCTGATCCATTTAAAAGAGTTCAAAACTTAGATTTAAAATAGAAACTAGAAGACTCAAATCTAAAGCATAATATGTGAGTTCTTGTTCTGCATTACTACAATTACCCAGAACAGAGATTTACCACCTAGAACTGTCTAACAGGTAAGTTCTGGACATAGAGGACCTGTTGGTGACCAAGTAAAGATCAAGGAATCAACTTGGATACAGTGGAAACGGCATCATAAGGCTCACAGACAATAAGGGTCCCTGGTTCAAAATGTATACTCATAAAGAAGGCTAGTTGCTACCAAGCCCATCAATCAAGGCTTTTTGGGTCCATGAGAATGTTTGGCCCAGGCTTGGCTTCTAACAGGCCTTCATGAAAATGTCCAGAATAAAATTGTTAACTCCAAGTTAAACAAATGGTGCATTCACACTGAATGCGTTTTGGGCATCAAAACATCTAAAAGTCTATGGGGGACAGAGTGTCAAGTAGTCCAGTAGCATGTCCAAGCATCGGGTACAAGCATCTGAGCGTTCTGGCGTCCGAACGCAGGAGCGTTCGGCACCGGAGTGTTAGCCAATCAGAAAAGTTGACCCAGGAGTTTTTTTTTTTTTTTTTCAGGAGATAGAAACTAAATTCAAGCTGTGATCATTTCTGTAGAGCTGTCTACAGATGAAAAACAAATAAACATCAACGGGTTAAACTCCAAAGTTGTTGTTTTTTAAGCCGGGAGAACGGATTATATAAGCTCTGATCATTATTGCTACACTAAAAAAATGTTATGAACTATGACAAAACGGTTTATAAATACCCAAATTTAACTAAAAATTTTACAAATTGCTGTCGAAAAATATTCGATTGTATATTCTAGTACTTGCAGTTTTTACCACGAACATAAAACATTTCCAGCCAATACCAACGGCAGCGGGAAATAGAGAGCTTTCGGTGGGGATTTCCAGCACTGCCTTCCCAGCAGTATGCTGGGAGTCTGGAGCTCTGAAAAAGAACTGCATATTTTAGTAGGATTATAATCCTGATGAATTGACTGCACGTATTATTTTTGGAGGTGGACTTTCTTTCTTATAAATTTGTCAAAACTATTTTTCCAACTCATCACAGTAAATAAATCCAAGCTGCTCTCTAGCTTGAAGCTACAGAACAGAGCAGATAAACATCTAGAGCACCAAGCATCCAAAGCGTTGAAGCATCCAACCAAATTTCATTGTTTTTGACGCCAAGTTTGTATTCGGTGCACCTTAAGTTTCAAAAGAGAAGGATCCTGTTGGTCCAGGACAGTTTTGTTAATCAAAATCAGCTAACTCAAAAAAAAAAAAACCCTGCAGGTTACCAAGGTAATTGTGTTTCTAATCCTCGTGTTGATGGAATATAAGAAAAGCAATTAAACACTAAAAACCAAGAAGATGGACGAGGTCAACAATAGGAAACTGATGGTCTCAGACAAGAGGGATCCAGTTTGAGTTTTCAGTTCCTTCGTGTTCAAAGACCCAGTTCACTGCATGTCATGAACTGTTTGGTTTATAGTCCAGGTCGGGTTCAGTCTTTAGAGCTATGAACATGACTTAAAATCAATTTAATATTATTCTCTCTCTCTCAAGTGTGATCCGTGTGACTTTAATGAGGTTCTGGCCAACAGAACCAAGCCGAGCATGTGCTGAGGTGAAACGATACCTTAATGAATGCTGAGAGACAGTCAGAAGATCAGAGGAGGCTCAGAAGAAAACCTGCAGGTGGGAAACAGACACCAAACACCAGACCTTTCCAGAGATGGAGGACAGAGAGCTTGGAGGCAAGAGTCCATGGAGGCAAATGGAGACGAGCTCAGTGTTACTAAGAGAACCATCCCTGACAGCAGCGCCCTCTGCTGTCCATTGATGGTTTAAACTTTTCCAACATAGCCTTTACATACAACCTTAAACTTTTAAGTGATCCAAAATGTTTTGGATGTTTCAGACATTCTCAGATTGTTTCACGTCCTGAATGCTGTGTTTAACTGGATTATATGGAACATAGAAACAGTTTCTGTCCCAATGAGCTCGTCTCGGCTCTCCTTTAATGGACCAATCAGCTGGCTAGAAGCTCCGCCTTGGCAAACATCAAACAAACAACAAAATAATCTGGTAAATAAATCATCAACAGCAGCTCCTCTGAAGATAAACAGAAAACCAATAATCATTCTACTGTTTGGCTTTCTTTCAATATTTTCACAGATCAAAAGAAAATAATTATTTCCTCAATGTATTATCATCATCAATTAAATAACAAAAGAGAAAATACCTTCAAACTCTGCCTGGAGTGTCAGATTTTTATTCAAATTTAATGATTTAATATTGTGATTATGCATTATTCTATTCTCCTGATTTACTTTTAATACTGCCAATTATTTACAATATATATCTTCATGTAAAATTGTTTGGCTTAAAAAAAACTCAAAATCAATCCTTTAATTGAAACTTCTGTAACTATCTGATATTATCTTACAGAAATGTTATCCATTCAAAAAAAAACATTCAACTTATTAACCAATATTTATTTAAATGTTCTTTTTGTTTTTACTTTATTTTTATCCAAATAGATTTTCATATTATTTAAGTTAAAAATATATATATTTTTCCACAAAATAACTTCTTTAACTCTAATAATGTTTCAGGCCTCTATGTGAGAAACGATTTGAGAAAACTGAATATTGTGGCTGTAATATTGAAACTTTTAAAATGTATTTCTTAATTACTCAAAACTTATTTGTTATGGAGTTTGGAATTCAGAATGGTATTTTTTTGGTCCTTTTCATGTGTTTTTTTTTTTAACCATTACTCCCAGTTTTGGTTTAAATGTTGACCCCTCCCAGTTTGCAGCTTCACTGGTTTTCCACCCACCTCCAGCGCAGCCTTCTGCACCGTGACTTGACTGAAGACTCGAGCTCCATCATCAGGACAAACTGTTTTCAACTCCTCCTTGTTCAGCGAGAACAGCTGCGCTCCAGTCAGAACACCAAGGCTGCTGATGGTTCTGAAAACACAAACTGAACCAGTGAGAACATCATCTGGACAAAGAGAACCATGGGGAGAAGATCCGGAGGACTCACACCGGACTGAAGCCTTTGGCCTCCAACCAGGCTTTCACTTCATCTGGGGAGGAATCGTAAGTGATGCTTGGAGCAGGAAGGCTGCCGCTGTTGCTCCGAGAGGGAACCTGGAACTTCTTCTGAGTGCTGCGACCCAAAGTTAGCCTGTGGATCAGCTCGTCCTGAACCTCCTCCATGTTGGACTTCCTGCCTGCAGAACAACACCGAAACATGAAACATCACCGCAGAGGGAGGAACTTTTCTGAAGCCCACCTGGGATCAAGATTTTTCTTTTAAGGTCATAGGGAAGCGGCTGTTTCAACCGTTTGGTGCCCGGCTTTACACGAGTGAATAAGGCGAATGTGATTGGTCGATTTTCAAGGGGGCGGGATTGTTGTGGCGGAAGGTTCGCAAGCAAGTTTGTTTGTGGCCTGTTTGTCAGAAGCATCTTGCTAAACAGTTAGCAACTTAGTGCTAGTAGGTTCCCAATGGGAAATTCCATTGGGACCAAGTAGCACTAAATTGATGACTTAGAAACGACACTGTCAAGGAACGCTATGGACAGAGGAAACATGCAAGAGGAGGTTTGTGTCGGGGGTCATGGATGAGTCTCCTCCATCATAAATTTTTTATTTAGAGGAGGAAAGCGGGGACGAAGATGTTGTGGAAGAGGACGCCAGGGCGGCAGAAGCTTGGTTTGGTGTAGAAGGCTTCCAGCCGTCCATGTTTGAGCCCTTTCCTCGCAACGCTGCCAGTTCTGTTAGCTCTACGCCTGCCGAAGACACAGACGTCCATCCCCGTGGACACTGGGACGCAACTCAATGGGAAAGGAAATTATTCTTATTTCTTCTTTCAACCGTTGTGTATATTAGCTGCGACATATGAATCAAAATGCTATGAACGAAAAATTTGATTGACAGATGACTGTTGATATATGATTGGCCAAATTTAGGTGTTCAGGCTGACGTATAACTAACTGGCCTGCATGAGATAACGGGGAAAAAAAACACAGATTTTAAGACAGAATTTTCTTTTAAAATATACAGTTTCTAAATTTTGGGACAATACATACATCTTTAAGCCAGAATTATTCTTCCCTACGACTTTAATAAACACATTTCAAGAACCGATGTTCAGTTAGAATTTCCTGTTCAGATCTCATTAAATTTCTATATAGTTTTCCTGAAATAGGACGACCGTAAGAGGAGCAAGAGATCCAGCTGTTTCACAGGCAGATGTTTCAATTAGAGAAAAAAATGAACTCACGTCCTGCAGCCGCTGCAGCTCTCTGGCTGGCTGCTTCCTTTGCGGCGCCGTTCCCGGCGTCGCTGGACGTGTTGCTGTTATGTCGGCTGACCGTGGTGCTGCCGCCGCCTGCTTTAGGGGGTTCTGCCATCGGAGGAGGCAGAGGCGGCGTGGGGAGCCTGTTGGGGGCGGGGGGTGGCGGTGATGGAACCTCAGACATCTGAGCAGCTGCTGGTCTACCTGGGGGATGGTCCGACTTTGTGGTCTGCTTCTGGAGGAGAACGGAAACAGTTTTACCGTCTGGTTGATCCTGAACAACAGTTTACATACAGATTTTCTTCATAATCATCACCAATAAAAATGTTTGTTTTATGGCATCGCAGTTTACTGCTCACTATACAATCTGGAATCATTTTAAATTAAAGTCCGATTTTTCTTTCACCAACAAATTTACTTATTTCTCAATTAGTATGAAGTCAATTATGTTCCAAAATTGTTTCACACAAAACCTCGTTTTGTAAATTGAAAAAAGAAAAGTGTATTTCAGAAAGGAAACTTGGAGAAAATAAAGTTACAATTAAACCATTTTTTTTTT